TATAGCTGTTATTTTAATCCGTGGCGTAGTTGTCTAGTTAAAATACCTGGACAATACCAAAAGACCTGGACAAATTTGTATAAAAATGGATATGTTATCATTAGCAGCGAACTTTTATCTACTATATATATGCAAAATCCATATTAGCGAGAAAAAAGTTATGAAACATTATGTAGATCTCTTTTTGTATCAACTTTTTTATATAAGTTATAAATTTCTAGGGTGTCTCCTTTCAACAATATGTGATAACCTATAAAATTACTCAATCTTAATAAAATTTTAAATAAGCAGAGCCTAATGTGTAAAAGTAAAAAAAAAAAACTTTTAGAAAAAAACTTATTATTTTTAACATTGATGTCAACACTTTTCTGCGAAATTTTTCGATTTATGCTAAATTAGACACCTAACTCAAAAATTTGACAAATATAATTGAGTTTGAGTGTTATCGAGTGTTTTGAGTGTTATCGAGTTATTGAGTGTTATAAACAAAACTTGTTTATAACTTATCTAAAACGAGAAAAATGGACTGCACAGTGCCGTAACTAGGCTCCCCCATGCCCTCATTGGGTTCTTTTGCAAAATTTAAGGTGTTATTTTGAATTTGTGCATGGCACTGACAGAAAAACTTGTAGCCTAAAACTATTCCTCTTATCCTCCACAGCTTTTTAAAGCTCTCGTTGTGAATCCTCCACAGCTTTTTAAAGCTCTCGTTGTGAATCCTCCACAGCTTTTTAAAGCTCTCCACAATCCTTATCCTCCACAGCTTTCTAAAGCTCTCGTTGTGGGCTGTAAAGTTACTAAATCAGATCAGGAGCAATCAATTCTCTTTTGCAGTTGTAACCAAGTTTACAGTGCTGCTTATAAAGCTGCTAATATTTTTAATTAAGTGACTGCGTGTGTTAAAGATATACCGATCGCCTTGTGTGGAACCGATGTGTGGAGTTATCCCAATCAAACACCGATATCCAATTTTACAAAAGTTACATATAATGTAGATAAATCGATGATTTTGCTTGGTTCTGTATAAATCTTAGTATAGAATAAAGTTTTAACTGGATGGGTTTATATTAATGACTCTATGAACACCTGACTTTTTCCAGAATGGTCTTTATTAAGATAATAAGATACATAAGTCCATTTTACTGTGCCCGGATCTCACTAGTAGTTATAGTGAAAAAAAAAATTGTCAGAAAAGACAGTAAAAAAGTCCGTAGTGAGTAAAGTTCAACAACTAAGTTTTTCTGTTACATTCGAATGACCTAAAGTGTTAAGATTTCTTGTGAAGCATAGGTCTCTAGCCACTTCGCCACAACTGCAAAATTCAAAGCTTGATCTGGTTGTATATGAGACATTGGTTAAAAAGATGACTTCAAATTCTTCGTTAACTGCTTCTCCACAGTGCTTTATGACAAGACTTTTAGATCCTTTTAGAACATATTTATAAACAAAAAAAAAAAAGAAAAAAAGTTCAAAACGATTTATCTGAATATATTGTTATTGTATTTTTGTATAACCTATAAAATTTAACTACTACTTTTGATAAAATCAGCAATGTTAAAATGTTTTTAGTAACTTCCAACTTAATAGCGCGGTGCTCTGTGATAAGACCGTACGGACTTCTTGAGGCACCTAAATAAAAAAACTATAATTAAAAAAAAATAGTGGTTGCTTGCAGCCTTGTTTGAAGTAAATTAGTATTACAAAAAACTAAAAAATATCATATCTTTAATATATAGTAAGAATAATGTTGCACCCAACATTCTACTCTGAGAAACTCCGCTCACAAATAAAGTTTTTTTTTTTTCTAATACTAATTCGCTACAAGTCTTTTCCCTTTTCTCATTTTATACTTAGACTCGCCGCTGTTAGCAACCACTATTTAGTTGGGTGTTACTAGAAAATAAATAATAGAATTAAAGAGCAAGGAAACTGTTGACAGAAGACTTGAAAAGTTTTCAGATACAGTGAAAAAATACGGTTTTCTTGAATGAAGAGTCAAACGAGAATGAGTTTGGTTGATATAACTAGAGAAGATAGCTCGTTTAATCAGTGACCATGTCTTACAACGATGGAAGAGTGGCTCAAACCTAGAAGATAGATAGGGTACGTCCGAAGATGAAATACGAGATAAAAGATTTATATTGATCATTGCATGGTTTAAACCACCAATAGGAGAATAAGGAAAAAGTTAACCAAGGCAGGAACAGAACCAAGCTGTAACAAAATGATTATGATTGTCTGGAAAACAATTCACAATGTTATAGAAATACGATACTTCAAAAAAGATACGTCACCCCCTTTTAATATCTCTTCAGGACGCCCTGGGAAGAATCTAAACAAGAAGAAGTAAGTCATATAAATATCCTCGCATAAAAATGTCCAATTTCTAAGTCATATAAATATCCCTGTATAAAAATAAAAATCTTGCTTATCAAACATTATATAGGGAAAGCAACTCAAATGTCTAAATAAATTGTCAGTAGTAAAAATATTAGAAAAACTTTAAACTTTAGTTAAAAGATAAGATTGAAGAAAATCATAAGATCAAAAAGATGTGCAAAATCTTTACAAATATCTGTAGGACCCACATTAACTAACTAAACTTGTGCAAAACCTTTGATGTGCAAAACCTTTACAAATAGACAGATCAGTTTGATTTATTAAAGATTTCATCAAAACTTATTTTGTCCGACAAGAAACTAATGCATCTAGAACTCAGACTACTTTTTTTGTAATTACAAGCCTCTCTCAACTTTTTTACCCGAACAAGAACCTTGATGAACAAGGCCGCTGCGCGGAGAAACAAGTTGAGAGTGGTACTATGTGGTGGGAATCGATCTCATAGTTTCTTGCTTAAAAAGCAATCGCTCTACCACTACACAACCATCGAATTAGTTATTAACGATTCAGCTAAATCTAAAATAAAAGGTACAACATTTTTTGAAAATGATATCTTTAAATGTTTAAAAATATTTTAAACCTTTAGTCAGGTTGTGAGATAGAAGGTTTAAAAGCTCCTTGTGAAGAACCTCAGAATTCATAGTATAAAGAAGATTCTGTTAATCTTCATATTAACAAACTTGTCTCTATATTAACAAACACTCTTAGTTTAGATAAAATAAAACAATGATCATTAAAAAAACATAAAAAAACATTATCAATTAAGATCAGAGCTACCATAGCACAGTAGTTAGAGCGCTTGCTTTCTAAGCAACCAGTCCAGGTTTCGAAGCGGGCTTCTGGGATATTTCTTCCTATTGGTAAATAGGGAGGTTTAAACTTCCCAGTTAAATGCTTTTTCGCAGTACTAGAGCACTGCACTAGCACTGCGGAAAAACATTTGACTGGGAAATTCAAACCTCTCTGATAAGACTGCTATGTTTTCTTGGGACAACTAAAACAAAAATAAAATGTGCGGTTTACCTCCAAGAGCTATGGCTATACAACCTTGGTATATATGCAAATAAGCTATTGAAAAAATAAAATTTTGGTTCTTTAGAGCAACAATTCAAAAAATTTTTTTTATAAGATTCAATCAAACATAATGGTAAATATTTTTGCAATGTTATTAATCCTCCATTGATACACGCAGAAACCAGCGAACACTTAGTGGTAGTTTACCTTTTCCCGCCAAAGTTAAATTTAAAGGAGGAAGCTATTAATTATATTTATAATCATAAAAAAAAGTATGGCGGTGAAAAAGAAATTCCTAAGTTTTCAATAGCTCTGAATGTTTCGATAGAGGTCCAGAACAATGTCTTAAAAAATAATGATAAGTACATATTGTCATTTTCAATTAACTTAAATCATCGGAAGAGAAGCTTAAAATTTTAAATAACTTGGAATTTAAAATTTTAAAGAAACAAACTTGATCTTAAGAATTTTAATTAACTTTAAACTTATTTTGGACAAAAACTACATTATTACTTTTAAATACTTATTACTAACTTTGAGGATCACTACAGAACACTTGCTAAAGATTTTGGAATAACTGTTTCAGTGAAAACTCATGTTATTTCAAAATATATAGGTTTTCTTTATGCAGTTAGAGATTGTGACTTGGCTATTACTCAACAGTTTGTGATGAAACAAATTATCACAATTTTTTTATTGAATATTGGATTAGATTCAAAGTTTTAAACACCAAAAGCTCCTTTGCTAAATATACTTGAACAAATCTGTAAATTTAATAATAAAAAAAATCTTGGATTAGATTCAAAGTTTCAAACAGTAAAAGCTTCTTTGTTAAATATACTTGAACAAACCTGTAAACCGTTTTAGAGGAAAAAACTTTAGAATATTTTAAATTTTACTCAGAAAATACTTATGTTTTAAAAAAATTTTAATTTATTTAATTACAGTATCTCAATTATATTACAAATGTCTATAAAATTGATTTGCATTGTTATGTCTATAACATTGGTTTGCATTTTACAAATGATATTTTCATGAAAATCGTATCCCAAAGATATATGCAATATTGACCATTTTAGTTTGAGTAAACACCTTAAATGGCTATAACTTTAAACAGTTAATATCTTTTTATAATAAATTGTGTAAAAATTAATAATAATAAAAAACTTATTTACTTTTATTTTTAGCAAAAATTAAAAATCTAAAAAATGTAAATATTTTGGTAGAATTTTGCAACTTCGAATTTTTTGTAAATCTAAATCTACACATTGTAACAAATCCAACAATATATGACAATTTCCGTAGTCAAAACACATAGCTAAACAGTGGTTAAGGACATCTGTGCCAGGTAGCTCCTTTTATGATTAGTTTATTATCAACATAGTTGAAGAAATTACTAATTTTATTGACATCAACTAATTTGAATTTTTTTTTTTGTAAAGATAACAAGATTTATTTATTGGTGTTTTTGTAATAGATTATCTTTTCCATAAAAATGATTTAAAACTTAGCAATTTCCTTAAATATTTTACGTTAAGATGTCTCTTTTTATTATGATGTATTTTTCCTACGGGTACAAAGCGCTC